CGACCGACACGTACGATACTGTCACAACTAACTTACTTACTTACTATAGTAGTAGTACTAACTAACTATTAGTTATTACGTACGTACAGTAGTTAGTTAGTTGTGTAGTGTGTGTGTGTGTGTGTGTGTGTGTGTGTGTGTGTGTGTGTGTGTGTGTGTGTGTGTGTGTGTGTGTGTGTGTGTGTGTGGATTACATTAAGTAAGACTGTGTGATTGTGAGTTTAGCCATAAGGAGCATATAGTGGTAGTATCTAAAGTGAATATCATATCTTATATTGTAATAACAGAGATAGAGAAGAATAATTTGTCTTGTCAAAGGGTGTTCTAAAGTAATTGAACTGCCTGTGTGAACTTTGACGAAAAGAAGAATTATTTAAAGCTCTGGATACAACTGTGATAACCATATTGTAAAAACAATCTGACAAACTAATTTTTGTCACTAATATTAATGCAGTTCAATGTACCCAAAGCATATGTGCAGATTGTTTTGGCACCTTGGATAATAAGTTTCCACCCTTTTTTTTTTAATCTTCTTCCTTGCTTATGCTTTCTCTACTTTTTTTTTTAAAGACTGGAAAATGTTTGTTAGGTGTGACTGCATATATTTCACTAAAAAAAAAAACCCTTTGGCCTGGAGGACAGTTTTGGGTCAACTGTGTCAATTGTGGATGAAATTTTAGTCATAAAATTCACAATAATAGAATATGGTTTTTCAATGAGACTGATAGAGTTAACCAACAATGAGAAGACTATTTTAATGTGGAATACTTTTATATTTTCTAAAAATACGATGTAGTTTACTTAAGAAGTATGCTTCTTAAGGATAATTAAAATGTTACTGATCTCTCTCTCGATTCCAATTGCACTAATACATCCAACCAGAAAGATGGCACAATTAATTAACAACATTCTTCACACACACACACACACAAAACATATATATATATATATATATATTGAAAAAAAAAACACAAACAACTCTGATGATTTTCAAGTGTCAACATCAAATACCGTATTAAAACCATTAATACTTTTTTAGGTACCATACTTTGATAGTATTGAAGTTTCATGCATTCTCCAGGCAGTTATCCATCAAGCTATTAACAGTTCAAAAATCAAGCTAATTCAGTTGATTTATAAATTAATTCATTTTCTCTATTAAAGATCTATCAAAATGTTTGAAATACTTCATTAGGAAATAATGGAATAAAAAATTCAATGTTATTAATATTAGCTATCTTAAGGTAACCAAGACTTGAGATACAATACTAAGACTTTTGCTGTAGCATTAATTTTCTGGGGTGATCCTTTTGTTTCTTTTAAAACTCAGTTATGGTTAAAATTGTACTTCAGGTCTCTTTATACCACATACACAGCTGCATTTAAACATGAATTAACATAACAGAAACCATTATACTCTTTACTGCCATGGAAGAAAATGAACACAAGTTAAATAAGTCTTACCATTGTGGTAAATTAACTGACGTAGTGTTGGAAGACTTTGTTTGACAACCTCAAAGGGTGGTGGTGGGTTTTTATTTCTGCACAAGTTGGATAACGTCCATGTCACATTACGTAAAAAAGAAGCCTGGAATACACAGTTTTCCCTCAATAAAAATGTATTCAGAGTAAATAATATTCTAAACTAAATCTAACATCACACAGTCATTTTGAGTTAGCTGTCTTCACGAGATCTTAAAACTTTGATCTCGGTTCTAAATTTACAATCTGATGAAGAATGCTAGTTCAAGACATTATATTCTAAAAATAAGAAAAGTTTTGCCAATTAGTAATCAATTTATTTCTCTGCCTCTATTGCCTATGCAGTTACTCATATTTTATGGACAAATACTTTGAGATTATGTTCTAAAAGATTTGTTTCAAGTAATTACACAGCCTTGCAAATTTAAAACTTCATAAAAGTTGTTTTGGTTTTAGTAACAGATTTTCCATAATTCAGCTATGCAGATTTTGAAAATAATATTTTTTTCTATCACTCAAGGATATTTTTTACAAATCAGGAAGAAAAAGAACTCTTACTTAGATCAAATTATTATTTCGTTTACCACAATGAACATTTTTTTATTATGATTGTTAACAAAAATACAAACAAACTGAAGAAAATAAAGAATACTGATGTCAGACAAATATGCATCCTCAATCATCCCGATTGTTTTTGTGAAATCTATATCTTTTAGTCTCAAAACTAAGCGTTGTGGTCTTTCTTTTATTATTGCGTCTGGATCATTTCATTTGAATGACCAGCAGTAATAAACCATCATGCTGGTGTTCCACCTTCCCTGATACCTCCTCTACATTTCCCCAATGTCTTGATGAAACCTTTTAGTTGTTCTTTGCTGACAGCACCAAGATTTTCAGGGAAATAGTCAATATGAGAGTGTAAGAAATGAACTCAAGCTCATATTACAACCCAACTCTTTGAATTCATCGAGCATGTTACTGACAATATTTTTGTAATTTGGGTCCTTGTTATTTCCTAAAAATTTGACTAACATTTTTAAAGGCAATTCACACTTTTTTTTCTTCAACTTTCATCTTTGTCCTTTTCGAAAAGTTCATCTGAAATCAACTTCCTAATCTGAAGCCCAACAAAAATCCCTCAAGTTTCACTTCTGAAAGAGCTGGGAATTGCCCAGTTTTATGTGAGGTGGAAGTAATAGGACTTTCTTTGTGTCAACCAAACTTTCAGGTTCAATGTTTTTCGATCGTGGTATCAAGCTAACTCTGCATGGCCATTACTTCTTTATCCAAAACTGATTTCATGCTCTACTGTCCCATACACACAAAACACATGGAAACTTGGTATAACCAGATTGTTGACCTAACAACATACAAAGGGCTTTTAAGTCTCCACAAAGTAGCCAACCCTGTTCTTTGCATTTGACCTTATTAAGAGGAAGTTAGAGATTTTTGTACCGAATGAGCAATAGGAACAGATGTATATGTTACTACTGTGAAGGAGAACACTTTTTAAGACTTCTTTTGGAGAAATCAATGAACAATCACCACTCACTTGGTTCATAGACTGCAGCTCCAAGCATTGGTATTAATTCAGGAATATTGTTGCTATAAACCAGTGAACCTACTTTCAAAATGTATGGTATAAACTGTTTCTCATGATTTTTGTACCAATAAAATGATGTTCCCGGAGAAAGTAAGTTCTTAGCCTGAAGTCGGGACCCCAAACTCTGAAGAATCCTTTGGAAGGCCAAAATCTCTCATCAAATCCAGAAATGATACGTTGTGTGGTCTGTCAACTGTTTGTATACTAGCGATGCATTCCTTGTGGGTTCTAGAATGATCAATAAGACTCTCAAGTCGCAATTGGTCTTGAGAAACCTTTATATGTTGTCAACATTTTAAGCATAACAAAATGTAATCCGATTTTAATGAAAATGATTCACTTATGTAAAAGTACATATGACATTTTGTGAAAAATCTGTACCTGATGGAGAAAAATGGATATTTTCAGATTCAGTGTGAAGGAATTACAGTAAAACATAAAAATTAAAACAATTGCAGGCCTGTGTTATTAGTTATTACAATTTGATATGAAGTTTAGATTTACAAATAAAATCAGAAATAGCCATTAAAAACTCTGATAAATACAACTTCCTGGCATTAGTTAAATAACTGTAGAATACTTATCAATGATACACAGTGATGGGAAGTTTTCTTGTTAGCACACACACTGCCTAGCTACACAATATTCTAATTAATTTAAGTTTTTTGAAACATTGTGTTAACCAGACTTGGCTGAAAGGACTGGCCTAAAGGTTCAGCATGACAGGAACTGACTAAATAGATACACATCTGTAAGCATTAGTCATACAAAGAAAAGTTAAAAATTCAGTTCCTAAACTTTGTCACAGTTAGAGGAGCAAAGAGTGGAATCTTTCCCAGATCTGTCCATTCTTCATCATTGTTAGACTCCATAGCATCAAACTATACAGATGTTAGCATATTTTAACAAATGTTAGTTAACCAGTTAACTCAAATATACCTAATCGAAGTACTTATTCTAGGCAACCAGTTAGTCTGTTGTAGCCAGCCACCGAGCTTTAGAACAAGATTTAATCCTTAAATGAAAATATAAATTTCTAACAAAGCAGTATGTCATTTGTGTCTTAGAAAATAAATTTTATTTCTGAATGTGTAATGTTTGACATTCAGAAATTCCACATATCTAAAAACAAAATCATAGGACTTCAGAGAATTTCTATGATCGAAAGACATCAATTATCAAATCAATCTTACCAAAAGACACAAAAGAAGCACAAATATTGGAAGTATTACAACAGGTTAAAGTTATTTTACATGCTATTAAAAGTTATGGAAATAATAAGCATACAAAGCATCTATGATATAACCACTGACCAATGAAACACAAGAAATACTTTAAATATAAATGGAAAATGTAAACATACAATTAAAACGAGTTTTTAACTGTGCATGTTCACACCCATGTTTATTTCAATCAGAAACACATCTATGTAAAAGTCCACACAGCTTTTTGAGTGGATTATTTATTTTAACTTTTTTTCTCTGTTTTTTCCCATTAAATTTCAAAATGAAGACACATGGTAGTGTGTCTTGTGGCAAAAACAACCTGCTGCACAACACTGTGTTATTAACAGGAGTGATAATTTAGCAATTTTCCACCTTCTGTACCTCTGACTGTGGTAATCCAAACTATCATATAATATTTTCAGTGGATGTGCTTTACTGGAATCTTGCTTCACATACAAAATTTCAAGGAAATCAATTAAGAAATACTTGAGATATAACATCTCCAATTTTTATTTTTTCTTCTTCTTTGCACCAAGATTATGGAAATTTTATTTGATAGAAAAAAAAAATACTTAACTTTGTTTGGATTTTTTCAAATTTGGTACACTGATAGATCTTTTCGGCTTATTCATTAGTTTCATTTGGTGTAAATATAAACCACATGTGCAAAGTTATTCAACAAAAATCATTCAAATTTAAAGAAAATATTTTGTGCACACCTACACAAAACTTCACGTGAGCTATTGGTCCAAGATTTTTACTACAGCTTCGCCCAAGAGTAAAAGTGGACCATTTTTAGTTTTTGTCATTCAGATGATTTAGAGCAGCAAAACTAAGTTGAAAGGACGTACAGATATACAAGTATTGATTAGGCCAAGCAAACTAGATTACAAGTTTCTAGCTCAAGTTTACAAAAGAATCATACAAGTGGACTATTATTATTCATTGTCAACTTTTCAGCACAAATTTACTAAATTTTATGAAATCATCATAATTAAAGAGCATCTGGTGTCACATAATATTAGCATAAATAATGATGCATGATATGGCTGTACCAACTGCATGGGTTGATGACAAGAAACTGTTAATCTCAATTCCATGGCATTACTATAAAGGACGTTATTAACACTGTTTTAGAAACAAAAAACTAACACCATACATTTTAAAGAATCTTGCTGATTTTGTAAAGTTATGGTTTGTTAAGAATAATAGGATTGGGATCCTAAAGCTAATGTTGGTTACTATAGAGTGTCACTTTTTTTTTTTTTACTTGCTGTGGTTTGTTGGTATGTATTGAAAAAAAATCACAATATCCAATCAAAAACACTAGGTGTGGAAAAAAAGTGCAGCCAAAAAAAATGTACTGAGTGTGTGACTTGAATGAATATTTTCTGTAAAATTATTATCAATGCTATAAATGTAGCTACATGTTTGGCTGCCAATTTTGATTCCATTCTTTTATTAGTTAGCTAGGTGCATATTTTGTTTTACCCACCATCAAGTTGAATAAAAAACAAGGCCTGGCTAACTAATGAATGAATGTTTGCTGTAAAATTCTTATCAATGCTGTAAGTGTAGCTACCAGTTTGGCCACCAATTCTGATTTCATTCCTTTAATTCACACACTCAGTCATTTTTTGGATGCACTTTTATTTTCACACCCAAAGTGTTTTTCATTAGATTACACATACTGGCATTTCTGTGGCATATAAACCACAACAACTATTCCAATTAAATAGGCCCATGGAAATGTGGAAATGACAGCTTGCAGTTATCAAAATGTGGGACAGTTGTAATTTTGGCTGTTATTTTCTAATCAATTTTTGGTGTTACATGTTTGTGTTTTGCCACAGCTGATTTTGAAAAACTCTGTAAAGTTTCTGGAATTTTGTTTGCATTGCAATCCTTTTATCTTTGGCCAAAACTTGCTTTAAAAGTGAAAATGAGCAACCTATGGAAAGAAGTTAATTTCTCATAGCATTTTGGGCTTAACCTTCTAAATAATATGCAAAAAAATGCTCAATATCATGATGTTATCAAGTAAATACTTTTAGAACACAGTGACCATACAAGTTAAATCACTTTCACAGATTAAAAATGGCTTATGCTATTATTAAGGGTTATTTTTTTAGTTCCCCATGGCAGTTATTTTTTAAAGGTAAGTATAAAAGGTATTCAATACACTATGCATACAAAAGTTTAAGACTTGTTTATTCAATTAATTAGAATATTTAAGTCAGTCATTCACGTTTAAAAATGCAAGAAGGTTCATGAGGTCTGTTAGCAGGCTGATTTCTTATCTAGATTCTTTGTTTACAAAATTGGACAATACAAGTATTGCCTGAATTGTTGTTTCTGTGTCAACAAAACAGAATTTTACTGGTTAAATTGAGACCATAGTGTGCCACTGAACTATGATGATCTCCAATCAATATGGCAGCATTTACAGCCTCGTGTAATGCAGAAAATAGTTCAAATGCAATTCAGGTCACAAATAAATTTGCTAAAAAATTATACCCAATTCTATAATTTAAGCTTTACTACATTGACTTAGTTCCTCAGTTACAAATATTTTATGTCTATATACAGCAACATAGTTTGAAAATGACGTATTACGGCATGTGTAACATCACTAACCTAGTCCAATTAAAATTAAAGTAGTGGAGTCATAGCAGTCAACATGGTCATACAAAGTTATCTGTGAGCTTGTCTGTGTATACTAACAACAGCTAAATTCATAGCTAATGCTATGATAAATAGTAACAGTATCTGAATTCAAAAGTATTAATTTCTTGGCAAAAATAAAAGGATTAATAGTGGGTACAAAACAGCAGGTGTCACAAAAGACTTTATGAGGGATTTAACAAATCTTCACAAAACTCATTTTATCAGTGCCTTCAAGCATCAGTGTGATGTCACCCTTCAAATGAAGTATTAGGTCATCAAGAAATTAATGTTGCTATATTTAGATGACAAAAACCCAAACAACTTATATACCAAAACAAAACATTTATTAAATGAAATAATCTCCATTCTTATCAATGATGCTTTTCTATCTTACAATCAGGTTGTTAGTGCCATGATTAAAGAAATCTCTTGGCTTTGAAGCAAAAACATGTCGATGTCCTCTTT